CTATTATATACCATCCGATAGAGAATTTCAAGAGCTACAAAATGGTATATAAAACATTAAGAAACAAGAAGACTAACTCACCTATTGGAAAGATACTTGAACGGAAATTGCTCTTGTGTTTGTCCACGCTGTGATTCATCGAAAATTAAAACCCCATCTTTCAATCAGAGAAGCGATACTTCGAAGTTATCAAACTTGAACAAAGGTTTTCTGGGCGGAGAACTTGAATCTGAGCTTCACTTGCCTCAAAATCCTATTGATTGAACAGTAACCAATACAAATCAAGTTTTAAGAAAAATGGCTTGCTAGGATGATTTTGATGTCTACACATGCTATGATGACTCACTTGTTTACGTTTTGAAGTACACATAACACTCGGATTTAAATCCGACGTTTCCACATTTATTTTATTTCCAATATACGTATGATAGTAAAAATTAATTTAGATAAGTATTCCTTCGACCTGATCAGATGAATAGACATATGTACAATTTTTTCATTAACCATATGTTATTTTTCCATATTGTTTTTGCACAGCAACATATGTGTCATATTAATATGCGAATAATAATAACATTGTCTCTGTTTTTTTATCAGTTCTTTGGTATGATATTTTGTTATTTTAGCATAATGTACCAGCAGATACTTATTAGTAGTTTGTTTCAAGTTTCTATTGGAAACCCTGGATGTACCGAATATAAAAGCATTAATAAAAATTATGTCGTACTAAACTTAAATATTTTTAGTAAAGCACAAACCTTTACACAAAAATTAATATTATGTCTCATTTCTTAAAATAAACAGTTAATGAAGTTGAATTCAGAAATTAATTTTTCAAAATTTTTGACCTTGTGGAAAATCAATGACGTACGAGCGAAATATATCAATTTCGATTATGATTTTTTTTTATTATGCACGAAAAATCTGACATTTATTTCCAATTGCTTACAGACAACTGAGGCGAAACACTTTACTTTTGAAAAACTCTTTTTTTTTTACAACTTCAGTTATTTTTGTGTAGAAAAGTCAATTTTCATATATATTTCTCTTACTATAGAAAAACAATATTAGTTAACTCATCATAAATTTTAATAGTCATTTATAAATTATGATGTATAGATGAAGAGATTTTTTTAAATAAAAATCCATCTATTTGTATTGAAAAAACGTCTAAGGATATTGAATTGATCGATAATCATCGGATTGACATGTCAATATTAAGCTCCCGACACATTAGAAGACCCGGGATCTTCTATTTTGTCTTGTCGTTCATAAGTTACAAGAGGGTCTTCTAATATATCCCTTAAAAAAAAGATGTTTAATTGGCAGTGTCGCCAATTAATTTTGGTTCCAGTCAATTTTACCCCTTGCATCGTTAGTAAACAAGTTTCTTTTATTTATTTCTCGTGCGTAGAATGAGAAAGAAACATAGTACTCTGTGGGAAAGAACGAGGTCATAGTTAGGAAATGTTCCTAGAACAGTACAGACAACAATCTCTAACATCTTAGTACAATGTCCAATAGAATTCTTTTTTTCTAAAGAATTCTATTGTCACTGGTAGCATTTAACCTTCTAAATAATTAAATAACTGAAAAAAAAAAATTAAATTTTTTTTTTGCCGAATTTACTTAAGGCAATTGTTTATGTTGAAGTTTGATTAGTACGGATGAAATTTGTACCTAGTGAAATCTACCATTAATATAATTATTGATCGCAAGCTAACTTGAATAAATATAGTTGTCTTGTGAAGTAACAGTTTGTAGAACAATAGCAGTTGAATACACATTCTACGTTTTCTTTTGTGTCTGCTTCGAAAAATACCTTTAGATCGTAGTAAAAAAAAAAAGAAATGCATTCTCAAACTCATAAGTACTCACAGAACAAACTCTGGCGTGAATACGTGAAGCTACGTTTTCTTCAATTATGAAAATATGTTTTGAGATAAAGACATGTCTGAATCTCTAGAAGAAAGTTACAGATGAAGAAGTTTTTTAATTAATAAAATATGAAATTTTATCTAATATGTTACTATTTTACAAATATCTCTTCATGTGCTACACCTGCGAATGTGCATTCAGTTCACTAGATCTTATGATCATAGAAATGTTTTTCGCATAGAGAAATTAACGAATTTTTCCAGAGTAAGCTGCAAAGAAGCACTAAAATGACTCCACGATATGTTTTCAAAAGCACTACTATTTTATAGACAACGAAAGTAAAATATTGTTCATATTGAACTTAGATATCATTATGGACTTTAATACTAAAAACGTCAATAGACTCCAAGAATTGCTTTTTCAAAAAAGCAATTCTCTGAAAGGGGAGGTGGATGGTCTTGCATTATAGGGGGAAGTCTTCTAATGTGTCGGAAGCTTTATGCAATTTGTCATCTGTTTCAAGAGACCAATGTGAATTATGTAACTGAAATGCATTCCGGTTATTTTGAATAGATTAATGAAATTATCACTAAACATCACGATTATGCTTTATCCGATTACTGGTTAATAAAATTCATAAATATTCTGTCTTCTATGCACAAATTAAATATTAAACAAAGTGATCAAAAAGTTAATTCATTAGTAAAAATGATAGGTATCTCTTATCAAAATTGTTTTAAACATATCAACAGATAAATATTTTTAATGTGGCATAGTATAAATATTAAGTGCATGTAAACGGAAACGGGATGATAAGGTTAAGGACGACTACAATATTTTAAACACCCATCCTCTTCTCTCAAATAAGTCAAGCGTCGTCAAAAAAAATCGATTTTGAAGATGAAGATACAGTTAAATAAAAAACTTATAACATAACTTTGATAAGCAATAATACTCTATACCGAATAAATCTCATGAGATGGAATGGATCGATTTGTGAATCCCATGGATAGGATGAGACAATTCAGAGCTCTGTTTTACACTGTTCATTTGGCATTGTTGTTATATGACGAGTTCGATGAAAGTATTGAATAGCATTACTATCGTATTTGTTTTTTAATGAAAGGATCAAATTTCTTTTTCGTAATATTTTTCTCTAAAAATGAATGTAATTCAATTACTGATTGTTATTGATTCAGGATTATATTTAGTTAGTTATTCTTAACAAAGCAACATTGTCAGAAGTTCAAGTCATTTTGATTCTACCTTTTATTTCCATACAACTTTTTATTAAATATAAACAAAGTGGATAAGACTGAGTTTTTTAAGTTTGTTTTCTTACATGGTGTGTCTTCTACTGGTTGTTAGATTTACTGAATAGTGCTTAGAAAAAAGTCACAATGACAAATGTTTGATCTAATTCTTTGTCAATAATTATTTCTAATAGTTACTCAAATTTACAACTCAAACAAAGGTACTGTCCTCAGAGTAATCAACTTTTTAGATCTAAATTGTTATCAATGAATAATTCTTTTGGATTAATTTTCGAGTTTCGAAAATACGAATAGTTTCTAACTATTAAATATTAGGTTTAGATTTTTATTTAACATTTATCTGACGCACGACATAAAATTATTAACGATCGTTGTCAATTTATATTTACCTTGAATAAATAATTGGAAGAACGATAAAGTATTCAATTTAAAAAATTTCTTTTATTCTCTGAGCAATGAAGAGAAAACACAAAAGCAAGTAATACGACCGTTGAACAACATCATTAATGGAAACAGAAATAGAATAAAAAATTTCTTAATGTTCAATGGAGTGTATTTATGAATAATGACAACATTTCATAGACAAATCAGAAAACAATCAAAAATTTACTATCAGAATTTATATTTCAGTGAAGACGTATCTCAAAGTAGTTCATAATGAATCTTTTAATGAATAAATAATTTTGAGAAAAATATCTTCAACTTGACATATTTCAATCATAAAGAAAAAAATTTAAATAACTCGATAATTATAGATTTCATATTCATATACATGACTTGTTCATGAGACAAAGTGCTTTTCGGAAGTAAATCCTTTTAATAATACATCGTTTCGTGAAAAATGTTAAATTATGGTCTATTCATTCCACTGATATAGAATGAGGAGTTTGTTCTATAATTATCAAAGATTATGAAGTAATCGTATTTTACATTGATACAGAACCATGGTTTTATTAGGAAAACGTGTATCATCGATTGTAACTTTTTGGAACTAAAGAAAAATTAAAGTCAAGAACTTTATTGTTTATAAGCATGAGTGTGTTATTTTTTTTTAATGCACTTTTTATCACATTTATGATCAAGCAGAAACCCATGAAATTGCTTGATTCAATGAAGCGGCATGACAATGAAAACATTTTCATGCAAATATTTGTCTCATTTTACTCAATGATGAACCGGTAACATATGAAATATATTATGCTTTGCTAAGAGAATATAATTTTAAAAAATCAGTGTGAAGTCATCTGAAAACAAGACCATACAAGAAACCTAAAATATTCCTAGTTTCAATTATAATTTTATTTTATTTAGTAATTGCCTCAATTTATAACTTTCATGTGCTTTTTCTTCTTGTTAATAGAAGACATCAGATTTTATAATAAAAATACGCATTTAATATGGAGAAAATTCCGACTGTATTTTTTGTTTCATGATTAATTTTTTCTGCGCGTGATATGTGACAGGTAACTTAAAATGAAGTGTACACTGTACTTGATTAGTAACATCGTTGTGATCATATGACTTAAGCAAATGCAGAGTGCATAATTAGAAAGTTTGAAATCTCCAAAACAAATATTATTTTATAGTGTGTCATAATATGTCATATAAAATCATAAGTAGCATAATTAGTCTTAGATGAGTTTTATTTACTGAAATTTAAGACAAAAAGAAAACAGGATAACCAAATGAAAGTAGCGTCACATTATTGAAGGATAGAATAAAATACAATACGACACATAACAATATATATATATTTATAATATAAGACAAATGACAAATAAATGAAATAGGGAAAGACATAAAAAAAGCATATTTTCATTTATCTGACATATAAATAAAAAAAACTACTGTTTTCCATGTTTATATACGATGTATTTATTGCTTATAGTTTTACATTGATTGAGGAGATAAGTGATTGAGATCTTTTGATGATAATGTCGTTCCAGAAAATGAATATGAAGTGTGATTTGATTTTGCACTGAAATGACCTTTGTTGATAACATTCTTAACAAGATCAGCCAATGATGGAAATGATTGAGTAGAATGAGTTAATTCTCTATGTGCACTATTAGTCTTTGACAAAACATTAGAATCTTTTGAAGACATTCCTTCTGATTTAGCTGAAGAAATTGAATTTGATGATTGTGAAGTCGTCAATGTTGAAGATTTTGATTCATCAGATGATACAAAATCAACAGATGATATTTCTCGTCGTTTTTTGATTGATGATGGTGATGTTGGAAGAGTAGATGCTAAAAACAAAGTTTTTGTTTTTATTATTTCTTATTGAACATATTCTAATATAATAAGAAGTAAATTAGGAATATCGGAACAGGAAAAAAACAGCTTTTAAAAACGCTAACAAACTCAGTGACATGCAACAGAAAAAGTAATTCAATATATTATTCATAAAAGAGAAGGGGTCGAAGTACATCATAAATGTGTTCGTCGAACAATGATGTCATGATTTTTTTCATCGTTCTTTCTCTTTTAATACTTAAAATCTATCTCAAAGAAATTTTCTTTATTTTTCTTGAAAAAGTTTAATATTAACATAACTAATTAATTACTCACCATCCGAACAATCAAACGATGTTGGATCTGTAAAATATCCATGATTAGTGATATATGCTCTAGAAGAAAAAATAGAAGAAATATAAAAAAAAAACAAAAACAACAAATTAAAAGTTTTTACCGATAAAAGTCGAATTTTCCTGCTTCACCGGGACTAATTGGAAAATGAAACACTGTTTCAGGAAAATAATTCACATCAAAACTCCATGGACGTTGTCGATTGCACGCTTTTGAACCCATTTGTTCAAATATTTTTTATTTAAATACAAATAATTTCTTAGAAAGAAAGACTTATATGTTATATAAATTCTTGTTACAAATGAAAGAACAGCCTTTATATATTTATGTATATCTATATATTTTCTCCCGTCTACGAAAACATCCCTTAGGGTGTGACGATCAGAACAGCGTCAGAATCAACATAGGTTTTTTCTTTTTCTTTTTCTCGTTCTTTCTCGTCTTCTCGTTATTCATGTTTATCTTTGGACGACCTTGGCTCCATGCTGACGTATTTTTCTCTCGATTTCTTTCACTTCTCGCAATTTTCCTTCTTTTTCTCTGGCTTCTATCGACACACCCTTCTCTTCTCTCCTATTACAAAGTTATGCCAGTTACCATTTGTGTGCAGAAAACAGACTTAATAAGAATCAACTGACAGCCAAGACGAGACATTTCACGAAAAAGAGAAGAAAGAGAGAGAAAAAGAAAAAGAGGTGGGTCATAGGGAACAATTTAGCGTTTTATTAACAATTAACAATTTTTCTTTTTATTCAAACAGAACAAAAGAGGAAGTAGTTGAAGATTGTCCCATGTATACAACATTGAACGAATATTATTCATCAAAATTAATCGCATGATCAGAAACCAAGGTCGAAGAAAACACGTAATAAAGTAAATAGGAGAAAATGACGTAATTCGACTACCGATATTATTTGCTACGAGTACTTTGCACTGTCATTAATAGAAAGAAATTGCGTCTTAATGTGTTTTTGCTCTTTTTCTTTAAAATAGAAAAGAGAAGTCATAGAAGCAATACAAGCTACATGAAATAACGTAGGTGTGTTAATATATCAGTTGTTGGGACCCATTCAGTAAAAGATTTAAAAATAGACAAAAGTACCAACTCGAATATATTATATCTATTCGCAAAAAAGACAGACGCATTTCTCAATGTTATCTTTATGATGATAGACATACTAATCAAGTATTCCGAAACTCATATAAGAATAAAAGATATTTGTAAATAGAAAAATCAACAACAATTTCGTCGACAGAATTATTTTCAAAATATTTTAGTTTATTTTGCGTAGCCTAGTTTTCTTCAAAAAAAAAAAAAAACAATTTGATGAGTTAGAACAATCATAACGAAATGTAAGTACATTATTTCACAAGGTAAAGTTGAAAACGTTCTTACAATATTACGTTTCGTGAAAAGATTATAATTTGAAACAACAAAAAAACTTCATATAAAAAATATAAGGTTTATTATTGAACAAAATATCGAATAGTTTAAGATGCTGATCAAATCATATGGAACAATACTACAGAGAGAAGATTCGTTCTAAATACAAACAACAAAATAAAATATTTTTCTTATTAATAAAAATAAAATAGATATTTACTTTTCAATATTTTAATTTGTTAATTAAAACAAACTTTTCTCTGTAATTGTAAAAAAAGATGCTGTGCATTGTTGCTGGTTGGATCACTTTCAATCTAAATAAACTAACATTAAAAAAATATATTCAATAACAAGATCTTATTTACCATTCTGAAGAAAATTTTCTTTGACGGTAGTTGATGGTACCAAGCAAAAAAATTATGGAAAAGAAAGAAAAAAAAATAAACATACTCATATTATTTTATCCTGAAGAATGAAAAAGTACTCATATATTTTTTCATAATCNTTAATATGAGATGCTGATCTAAAGAGTAAAAAATATTATATTTAAACCGTAAAGAATTTCAAAAACGTATATCATTGAAATGTTAGCATAAAAATATTCATCTTATTCTATATGCTTCTTTATTTAGAATGAACACAAATTAATAAATATCTGTTGTAGGCAAAATTTGCATTAGACTAGAGGTAAATTCATATAATCATTGCTTTACTAATAGTACAATGAAATGTAACAAAAATATAGAAAATTGTAATTATAGTGATCGTGTCAATAAGCAGTATAAATATAGGATGTGCCCGTTACAATTTAAAAGAAATCTCTGAATTCGGGCACAATAACTAGTCGTACATGCAATTGTCAAGACCAATGAGCTACAAAACAATATTCGTGTTAAAAAAGAAAATGGAAATTTATTGTTCGATAAAATCTCATGGAAAAAGCGATGGTTCTAAAAATAGTCGATAAATAGATAAAACTATTGTGTCTTATAAATGGTTTAGTGGAGTGAAAAGATATTTTTGAATAAAGAAATAGTTATTTTATTCAGAATTTAATTGTTTTGATTGTATGAATTTATTTGCAGTCAAATTCTGATATTGTTCAGGCACAACTGGAAATATAATTCAGACTGATGAACGATTAGTCAATATTAGAATTCCAATCGTGTCTGGTTAAAATTACAATTTCATTTTTGTCTACAACATATTTTGTCTAATTATTCACGATTATGAAAAAATATATGAGTACTTTTTCATTCTTCAGGATAAAATAATATGAGTATGTTTATTTTTTTTTCAATTCCTAAATAATAGTGTATCGTTGGAGATCTTTTTGTTTTGATTCATGAGTACATTATATTATATTATTATTTAATAATTAACACGACTTTTTAATGTTTAAAAAAAAATCTATGAATTTTTCTCGAAAAAGTGATTTTGGTTTTAAAAATAATTATTTCGGTTAATAATAAAGGCGCTAGATTCGGTTCTATAAATTGATTGTTCGAGAATTGTCCAGTCTGAGTCGAGCGTAAAAGAATGAGTCATTGTCAATTTTTCTTATGCCTTCCTGATGACTAACTTCTATCTTACCTTATAAAAGCGCAAATACTATAATATAATAAGTATCGTTATTTTAAATCAGAGTTGATTTATATCAGTCAATTGTTCATATCTTTAGTCATATCAAAATATGTAATTGGAAAATATGATGAAAATTTTCTATTTATTCTCATTTTTATAGCTTGAAATTGAATTAAATATAATTGTTTTATTCTTATCAATATTTTGATTAATCATTATAATATAGAAAATTGAGTTTATTTTTATTACTCTGAAAATGTATTTGAGTTGACTTTAATGTACTGACAATCTTTTGGTATAAGCATCTTATTAATGTATCGTCTCTTATTGTTATTTTAAAAAACAATCATAATATAGCTGAAATAAAAGAAAATGTTACTTAAATTTTAGAGAAAAACTTTTTATAAAAAAAAAGGTTAATAGTCGTGTTGTAATTATATAATATAATAATATGTTAACAATAAATTTCTATCGATGATACTAAACTTTGCTAATTATAAAAAAAAAGAATTTGTTTTTGAATTCCGAAGAAACATTTTGAAGATCGGAGCATTTTATATTCAAAATGCAATATAATAAATAGATAAAATTTTTTTAATTAATTCTAGATGTATTTTTATGCAAGAACAACATTTGAAATCTTACCAGATGAAATAATCTTAGAAATCTGTCGATATCTTCATTGTAGTCATGTTCTTTATTCATTTTTTGATTTAAATACTCGTTTAAATAAAACAATAACATCTTATTGTCAACATGTATGGTTCCGTCGTGCATCCTATAAACAATTACTTTATATATATCAATATATTTTACCTCGAATAGGTTCATCAGTTCTTTCATTAACAATTCATCCATTACATCAAGTATCATTTCCATCTTCGTTTAAACATCAAATATCAAATATATTTCCAAATTTAAAAAACTTTAACATTAACGAGTTGGACAAGTGAAAATTTATTACCATTCATAATTGATACTATACACGATATGAAATACTTACAAAAACTTGTTATTCAAGAACTATCATGCTCCTCATCAATACGAAATATAGATTTCATTGAAAAAATTTTTAATATAAAAAATAACTTCTTAACTGATATTATATTTGATTATGATTGTGATTCATTTGATTTAATAAATCATCCTATAAATAATATTATATGTCATAATATTCTTTCTTTAACTATTCAACTTGATACATTAATGGATTTATCATCGCTTATTTATTTAATACCAAATATACATCGACTTGATGTATCATTTAAAAATTCATCATTAAGCAAAGTACCTTTTAATATTACACTTCCATTTCTGAAAGAATTTTCTGTATGGGCTGTTCATTGGTATTCACATTTAGATGATCTTAAATCATTACTTCAAATTGTACCTTCAATTGAAGAATTTTCTTTAACAATATCTACTCGTGATTTTAATTTAATTAATGGTACAAAACTTGTTTCTATACTTCCTTCACAATTAAAACAATTTAATTATACTGTTTGTTATTATCCATGTGAAAGTTATGATAATTATAATATAGATATCATTAAAACATCATGGCAATCTATTCCTATTATATATTCAATAAGTGATATTGATAAACGAATATTTCTTCATACATTACCATATTGTTCTTCTCGTTTGACAATAAGATCGAGTTTAGCTAAAAATATGCCTAATAAAGATATGCATCCAATTTATTCAAAAATTGATCAAATTCAAGTATATTCAATGATTAATCTTTCGGATACATTTCCTATTATAGGACAATGTCGTCGTGTACGTGAACTAACTCTTTTGACAGCAAATGAATCGAAAACATCAAATTCACAATTTACATCTTCAGGTAGATCAAGAATTAAAGATTAAAATAGTTAATTATGAAAGATATTCAAATTAAAATCAAATATGGAGAATATGTCCATAAGTTCGAGCAGCGCTCTCATAAAAAAAGCCACCTGTCGCGAAAAATTGAAAAAACTAACGAAAACATGTCTGTCTATCTTTAAGTTTTGGTCTAGGGTCAATGAACAGGTGATGATTTATCTCATACTTTTATCGACTGAGAAAATTCGACCCACTTTTCTGCTTGCTCCGCGAAAGATGTGGTATATTTTGTTACCCGAAGTCCAAACTTTAATCGAGATTTAGATGATTCAATTTTGTATACCTAAGTTTAATGAATCCCTATAAAATCATGTCATATATCAAGGAAATTGGCTATTAAACTAATGAACTTGATTATGTTGTGTGTTATTGAGTGATACTGACATAAATATAAATAATTTTCACCTAAGATTGTTAAAAAAAAACCAGCATCTTCAAGTGTAGAGCAAGTACTCGCTGACAACACTTCCATATAAGTTATCTCCTATTTAAAAATTGTATAAATATTCTAAAATACAAAAGATCTAATCGATAATGAACATTCTACATTTGCCAATCTAACCCGAAGAGAGTCATAATGTTAGAAGAACGAACTTTATCTTCAACTTTGTCCTTATCTTTATTGTCATTATCATTTTCTCCCATTTCCAACATACCGTGATCAAGTAGACGCATACCGAACAACTTTGAGAAGATTTTTCGTTTATCCTACATGCGCACAAGTGTTCTGATTAGATATGACCACATTATTTTTAGTTTTTCAATAAGAAATCAGACACAGATTTGTTGATATTTTTTTATAGACTGGAGAAGTTAAAAGATCGATAGGAAATGCTTTCATTCTCGGAGTGCTAGATCTATTGATCGGAAGGCAGGAAGACGCGAAGAACAAAACTGCCGTGACCTGATTCTTCCTACAACAGACAACCTGGCACCAGGTAGTTCCTCACAGTCAGGCCTGCCTCAATCCTGTTCATATCAAAATGATATTGTCTATCTTCTTATTTGAGTCTCTGCCAGAGAAAGGCAAATTATATTTCGCAATCCAATTTATGTCTAAATTTATCAGGAAGATATAACGAATTGACAGGAAGTATTAAGAATTTTTGCAGAAAGTTGAACATTTTTGAGAAAGCTTTCCTAATCGAGAACCGTATCCAACAAGAAAAATATTAGAAACTAAATAGGTCATAGTATAGCAGAAAGATATTTCTACAACTAAAGACAAATGATAAAGCATTGATTTTTAGTTCGATGATGATAAAATCTTTGTTATGTTCGATACGGCAACTTCATTTCATTTTTCATTATGATTGAGACTAAGGCCGGTTTCATTCATGTCTAACTCCACATTTGATACAAACTAACAGGTATTTCAAGTGAAATTTCACTAAATTTTGAGTTTTCTTTCTTTCACTTGCTATTCATAAAAACAGTTTATTTATGTGTCAAAAGATATAAAATGTGAAGCTCTACAAAACTGTCTACTTGGTTTTCCGAATAACTTTCTTTGGTCGATATTTAATTGAAACAGCTTACATATACTCCATTATTCAACTGAGACTTTCTATTTTCTTGTAAACATTATTAATTAGTGAACACATCTAATCAACAAGATGGATGCTGAAAGTAAATTATTTCATACTAATAAATAGAAAATTTCGTGCTCGATATTTGAACGACCATGTCTAGGCTTCTGGAGTGTGACTCAGAAGGAGAAAGCTTAGAAAAGACATCCATCAAGAGTTTTGGTGCAGTTTGGAAAAGCATGTTTTTATACGTCAAGCATCACTTTAAAAAAAAGTTTTATTATTCAATTATTGAATGTAGAATTTAATTCTAAACAAAATCATGTAACTATTAAAATGTATAGTGAATGTACTCACGAGGGAAGGTATTTAGGTGTTCAAGCGTTTTAGAACCCATCTTTTGGCCACAAGTAGACCTCGATGAGGCATGAAAAATCTGAAAAGGATTCATTCCCTCAAACCTTTGTTCCAGATTTATGATCGTTTTACTCGATTTTGGACTTACAGCAAGGTATTCTGAAAAAATTCGAATGATGCATTTTCGACCTGAAATTTTACCCACAGATAGGTCTCATTGGCACTAGATTGTTCTACAAGTCTCAGCCAGAATGAATGGCTCCTTCTCCAGATAATCGAATTTAAAAAAATCCTGTATTTTATCAATCATTTGAAAAAAAAACTGATTTGCCTTGAAAATTCATTATTCCGTGNAATGTACCTGACCATTGAACAAGAATTAATAATATTTGCATTGTCTGTAAAATTATAGATTTAGTCTGAAAGGATGTTAGAACTAAGTCTAAGAGAGAGTTGCTCTATATATTATTAAAGACGAGACGTTATACTATATATTGCCTTAGTAAAATATTCAATATTTATTGCTTTATTAAATTTTAAAAACTGTGATCAGAACTTTTGGTATACCCTAAGTATATTTTGATCTCAATAAATATTTAGAAATCATAAGCAATGTTTAATTTTATGGACATTGTCTAGAGAAAACAATTTAATCATGGATCAATGCATTTATGCTTAGCAAAAAAAAACTAAAGGTTTGGAAAACTGCAAAAGGTTTTATGAGAATACAACTATTTTATACAAAGCAACATTCTTTTTGTGGATAGATTCCATGGTCAAGAATCCCTAAACGAATCACTGGGGAGTCTCACACTCACCCTCAGTCCCTGGTGGAACCTCTGTCATGATTCCTCAGGGACTTCGAGAGAATTTTGATAATGAGATTTCACTAGGTGTAGATATTATAATAAAAACGTCGTATACAATCGTTTACAGTCGCCGTAAGTCTCACGGCGTACTTCTGGGGAATTCCTGGCAAATCCTCAGAAATTCCCTAACAAATCCCCAGGAACTCCCATGTAAATCCCTGGGAACGTCTTGACTCCATCGTAAATTCAAATGGAATCTCTGTCGCGATTCCCCAGAGACTCCCTAGGGATTCACGACTAGAAATACATTTATGACGAACTCATAAGGGTGTGGAAGTGGTTGTGGGCTGTGGGCGTAGTTGTGAGTAAAGGTGTGTGGTTGTAGATCTTCGCTTCACCGACACCCACACGCACACCCAGCTCGTGTCCACACCCAACCTACACCCTCTTTTTTATCGTTTTCTTTTAACCTTTTCTATGGTTATTAACCCAGTAAAATTTTAGAGACAAGAACTGAATAAATTTACATTTTTATTCGTTTGTTTACGTCAGTCTCTTCTTTTGGTAAGAGTATTTTATCTTTTTCTTTGTTATGAATCACACACAACTTAATTAGAACTCAAAAATTCAGTAACTCTCGCTTAGCTAAATGATCTTATTGTGGTTAGTTGCCAAACTCTACGTTAAAAATTCTGTTGTCAACCGGCTTTCTTTCGGTAATACAGAGGACATTCTTTTCTCTCTTTTGCTTTTTATTAACTTTAATAAAAATTACAAGACAAGTGCATCAAAATTTCGTTTTCTTAAAAGTTAATGCTACTGCTATTTATTCATTTTCTTGTAATAACAGCTGTGCCTGTTCTTTATTCCATTGAGCGATGCTTGCATGTAAAGCTTCCCAATCAATCTCCGGAAATAAAAATGATGGTCCAGTGCAAGGAGGAAATAGACAAATAGGTGAAAAGCCATCCACAAATACACCATTTAACGCACTTAAATCAGGAACCAGTCCACGTCGTGCATTGTCATGAGTAGGGAATGCTGTTGTTAGACTTAAAACAAGTGCGACGATACAGATAGTAGCAACCATGGTGAAACGCATGTTTGAAAGAATAGAGAAGTGAAAATAAAAAAAACAGTTTTTTAAATGCGAGTTATACGAAAGTGAAAGACCACAGTGTGTGAATATTAGCAGACGGTCGAATTTGAAAAGAGAGAGTAATTTTAGTCAGACAAAACATCGAGAAATAACGCGTAAAAACGTGTCGAAATTTTAACGAAAAAAAAAATCGTAAAGATTGCACATTGTTACGATTTTTTTTTTTGTTAAAATGTATTAACGCATTTAACTTCATTCAAAAATTTAACGCGTTATGAACCTGTTAACATGTATGCTTTTTACGATTTTTTTCCGTTAAAGTTTACGAAAGCGTTTTTAAGCCTTTGTTTTTGTTTTTTCTCTAACTGCGGAAAAAAAATTCTTTTTCTTATTTAAATAAATTTAGTTGATTATGGAATGCACGAAAATGAGAAAAAATTATTTGTTACAAAATAATTTATAATAGAAATAAAGCTTTGCTAACAAAATGAACTGACTGATTAAGACAATAGTTCAAACAATCAAGTCCCTTTAAACTCCGTCAACTAAAGAAAACCTTGATCTTTTCTCGGGATTTTTTAGTGCTATATCGAAAAGTCTAGTCGAAAATTCACCGAGAATAATTATTGATTATACAACATCGATTATAATATTTAGAAAATAAATTTGGCATTCAATTTTATTAGTGCTTGCAACAAATTATTACAATTTATTGTCATAATTATAAAGCAACCAAGTGGTGCAATGCCCACTCTTTTTTAATCAACCAGCTCTCACATCCTGCTCATCTAACTTGATTATGACATTTTTTTTAATTTGATTAATAATTTAATGTCGCATGTCCCCGAAATGAAAAAAACATCAAAAATATCTATTCAATAGCAAAAACTATACATCTTGCTATTGAATTTTTGTCCCGTCGTTTAAGTTCCCCATGTGTCAATCATTCAAAAACACATACATAAAATAAAGTCTCTTGTTAAAAAAAATTGATGATCAAATAAGAAAAAAATCTTATTTTTAATTTAATCTGATGAGTCATTGTATGTCCTTACGTTCCCGTCGTTTAAAAAAATACAAAATAACTTGTTATTTACTGTACAAAAGAGAATAAAATAGAAACTACAATGATAGTCGTTTGCAAATTTAATTCTTAATTATATTTTTTATTAAAAAAAAATGAAAAGTGCTTTTCCAATCTCAACTAGATTCCGAACTTAATTGCCACATATATTTGTTTATTTAAATAAAATATTCATTAACATACCGTTGAAGTCATTTTGTTTATCGATTTTTTCAAATCTAAAATGAATATAGTTAAATTCAATTATTGAGTGATCTTTATTAATCTTGTTATTTTATAAAATATTTCAAAAAAAGAAAAGAACACAAACATTGATTCTAAATATCTTCAATAAATCATTTTCTATCAAAAATAGTTTATCAAATTCAAATTCAATTTGATGAAGATTTATATCAATTAGAACATAAATAAAAAACGGCATTGATTAAGAACTATTCGAAAATAACCTAATAATTTCGACCTTATCTCTATGATCATCGCTCAGATTTTTCTTGGCTCATTCTCATTTATGATATTGTATCATGTATAAAGGAGTGGAAAGATACCGTTACCACCCAGTTACGTTACCAGCTACCTGGTAAAATAACGATAACTTCCCTCCGCTAGATGCATACTGATCGACAGAGGGTGTGGGTGTGGTGTTCTCTTCCTACACACACACCCGCATCCAGTCAATACTTTCGTGATATCATTTTAATGTAACACGTATTTCCGTTTCTCAAAAACGACACATACATAATCGATCTGAATCATGTGATAGTTGTTCATGACAAAGCACCATATATGCAAGCAAATATGACTCAATATTTACTTCAAGATAGCAACATCAATTTTGGGAGAAATGACACCTGACCTGGAAATTCACTTGATCTGAATGTAGCTGAACATATTGAGGTAAAAATAAAAAATGAAGTTGAGCAAAAAATGTTGTTAGAAACGGAATGTAACTGTTAAGAAGAAGAAACATTAAAAAAAAAACACCTGTCATATGTTTTGACAAAATTGGAATCAAATACTGAAATATTTGAAACTCTCTTATATTCCTATCCGTCATGTCTTTTGTGCAGTAAGAAACGCTAATGAACGTCATACTGGTTATTGATTTTATTCATCAAATCTTCAAAAATATATCTATCTAATGTCATCCATCATTTTGGATCAGATTTAGTTCGAATTGCGTCATGAAGGAAATTTTCTCATACTGAAATAGCGAAAATTTCGAGAGATTTATTATGTTTGATATAAAAAAAATTGATAAAATCCATACCATTCGATACTGATAAATCCCATTTTTGACGTACTTTTATTTTGTATAAAGCTTGTTATTGATGCTGTTTAAAATCACATCGTTTACTACGCTGAAAAAACATTTTTACGCACCCTGTAAATTTGTTAGCCATACTGAACAAAAAAGTACTCTGTTTGTTGAATGCTGCACAAATGAACTTCATTCATTTGAACACTTATCTATACCTAAAATATTTTTCTTCTGGCATAATACTCGTTTTTATCGTGTATCCGATTGATATGTTCATTATAAATATGATTGAATTAATAAACTTTGTTTTGACTGTTTATAGTCTTCTATAAGATTATTTATCCAATTCATATATTATTAGTAAAATATGAAGATTTGTTCTTTCAATGCAAAAAAATTAAATAAAAAGATTTTTCTTTATTATATTATTCTTTTAGTAATTTGAAGAAAGAAGTGGAATAAAATCTCTGTTAATAATTGTGACATTTAGACAATTTTCTTTGGTTTAAGGTAACAATATTAAAATAAAGTTGTATTTGTTATAAGAAAAACGTTTTAAAGAATTCATTAAAGAACAGGTCCAAATATAATTCCCCAATCGTTTAGTATTCGTTTATTTAAAGTAATTTGTCCGGAAATTTGATCTCGTGTTTTATGTAAAATAGTAAACTTTTGATTGTTTTCATCAATATTAATTGGTGCTAAGAGTTGTCCTTCAACTTTTAAAAATTGTTGAAAACATCCGAGCGAATCCTGTGAAATAGCTCCACAAACATGTATAGTATTAAAATATTGTTCAGTTGATTTTAAATGTTGTTCTAATCCATTTTTTACTTGATTTGCATCTTGAATATTATTAACTAAAACACATTTGATAATTTGTCTAAGAATAGTTGGCACATGGTTTTTCAGAATGTTTTCAACATGTTGAAGACCTTGATTATCTTGTGAACATATCCATACTTGACCTTGAAATCCAACTATTTGAGCTGCTATTGCTTGAATGTAACCTCCTTTAGCTCCAAGAAACAAAACACGATCACCAGAATTTAATGGTATTAAACTCAATTGAGCAGCAGTAATTTCTGTTGAACTCATATTTTGTGTTTGACTAACACGCAATGCTTGCCCATAATTATAAATTGATTTAAGACACTCACCATCATCTTTTGTTTTAGTAAAATTCTTATAGACAGTCATATCAATGAACAAATGTTTTGGTACTTGTAACATAGCATTGACAATCGTATCAGAAAAGATTTTCGCAAATGAGGATGAATTACGCATCTCATTTATCATTTTTCCGATGGACAGTTGTGTTTGTTTGCTTTGGGCTGCCCATTTCATTTCTATAATTGATGAATAAGGTAATAATTTCATTTGTGTATTATCGGCTTGTTCAATCATTGATATATGAGTAGTTTTTTCCATTGATATTATTTGTTTATCAGGTCCCAATATAGATGGATTCTTCATTTCTAGTAATGCTTGTAGAAAATCATCGAGTTTACAACGTTCTTTTGCTTCATGGGACCATCCAAGTTCAATTTTTTCTCGAAGATTTTTTGGAAATGTTTTGTCAAAATCAGGTCGTTTTTTAAGAACATAAACAGCAGTAAGAAGTTGATGTGGACTCATATTTTCAAATGCTATTTTACCAGAAAACATTTCATAGAGAATCAATGATAAACTATATATGTCAACTTCTTGACCATATTTAGTGTCAGCATCCAGTAGTTCAGGAGCTGTATATTTCTATGTTAGAAAAAGAAATGCAGAGAAATGACAATATGTATAGTTATACTAACTGGTGTGCCACTGCCTGATGTATTATGTTGAATTGTTGCTAATACTCTTGCCATTCCAAAATCTGATAATTTTGCACGATTATCTTGTGCAATTAAAATGTTTTCGGGTTTAAGATCTCTAAATAAATTGTTATTGATGAAAATATCAGTCCTAGACAAAAGTAGCCGCCCTTTCATAAAGTGCTACTATTCTTTATGATATAGAGCTGATGTTTTTATTTCATGAATGCGAGAATTAACTCTGATCGTAACCATTAACTCACTTTCCATTGGTTCACATATACTGGAATTAGGATGTGGGTGTGGATGTGTAGGTGTGCGCAGAGGCCGCGCGAAGGGTCTAAGATTGGGGGGTGTAGTGGGTTTTGAAATGGTGTAAAAAATTTTTGGGGGGATGTAAAAGGGTATTTAGAGCAAAATTTCTTAAAAAAAGCACAAATTCGTTCCAAATCTGCTTCCGTCGCTGAGAAAAAACAAAAATTTTCAATTATTGGGGGGGGGGGGGGGGGGGTACACCCCCCCCCCCCCCCCCCCCCCGGGCGGCCCCGGGGGGGGGGGACAGGTTATTGAAAAGCCGCCACACAAAAGAATCACAACCCCCCCCC